TTTGAGTAAGGGTCGCCATGAGCTCTGCGTCCCTCCGTAGTACCTCCTCCACGTCCTGGCCCGGTTCGAGAAGCGCGTTCACTTGGGGGCCCTTGAAGGCAGTTGCGTGTCCAGCAGCAAGCAGAGTGCCTACAAAAGCGCTCTTGAAAAACATGGTCGAGGTAGTATTAGTCGACGCCGGAAAATTAAAGTCGGTAGTGCGAAGGTGGCCGGGCTGCCCAGCAGCTTACGAGAAAGAAAGTGGCGAGCGAAGAAAGAACGACGAAGCAAAAGCTAATCACTGCTGAAAAGAAACGGGCATTAGAAGTGTCATTAGCAAAAGCGAATTAGAAAAGTCGAACACGCGAGCATGAAGAAACGCGGTATGCGAATCACGGCAATGGGTGGATCGGACGAGAACGGCTCGCAATGGCGTGACTCAGGTCGGGCACCAGACTCGAAAAGCAGCACCAAGACTGGCTTGAGGCTCCATAACAGAGTTGAGACGGACTCTGCTTGAGGCTGTGACGGGTGGCACACGACATTTCTATGCGTTGATCCCGAGGCGACTAAGAAGAAGCTTAATTTAGCATAGTAGAGCCGCATTTGGTGGGAGCCAACCAAGCTGTGGCCTGGAGATCGAACCGTTCGGGAGTGGGGGCGCACTGGGCATGACGATGCTGGGCCCCTTGAGACAATTGGTGTTGAGGTCTGGAGTCGGGGATCGATGCTAAAACTAGGGGCGCTTCAGGTGTGCGCTAGTAGAGCACGTGACGCCATCCTCCGAGCCAATAGCATCATCTGATGCCGCCTTTCCCGGCTTTTCGGTTTCACCCTCGAGCCGTGCAGAAGCCGATGTCCTGAGTTTCCCATCGCACCAGCCTCCGCTGCGCCATCGGTGCATCGCAAAATCTCCTGCGGTGTGGCTTCCGGCGCGTGCTTCCTCAGAAACGGGCGATGTTGACACGGGTAGCGGCCGCTGTCATCTTGGACCTGCGACACTCGCGCTGATACAGGCGGGTCGCCGGGCGCAACACCTGGACAACTGTACAACATCGACCGCATCTTCAATACCGCCCAACGGACCCAGCCGCCTCGCTGCTGTCGAAGCACGTCACTCCCGAAGCCACACGGACATTAGTTGTTCCCGGTGCGTGTGCCGAGAAGAGACGGTGAGCTGTGAAACCTCGTGTCCCAACCTCCACCCGGCCAATACCCGAACGCGCATATCCGCGGAATTTCTCTTTATGCCAATAGTTATTCACTGTGTACCACAGCACAGAGGTCCTGCGTCCTGCGTCCGTTGCTCGTCGTGTGGTCTTAGTCCTGCAGCAACTTAGCGGCCTTGTCGCGCAACGCACGCATAGTCAGGCACACTGCCGACCACACTTACTGGGTACGGGACGGATCGCGCGCTCCATATCAGACTGCTCGATGATCTGGCACCATACGGGAAAGTATGGGCTGCGAACATATGCACACGATACGCCTTTGACGATGAAGGCGACTCTGAGGTGGCCACGTTCGCCTGCATACAACTAATCCACATGGGTGCGCTTGTGCCCAGCGTGCATTCGCCCAACACATACACCCACTGCCTATGCCCATATATTGTCATCCTCCACTAATGTGTTGCAAAATGCGGGCACTAACTGCCAGCACATCAAAAGCCTCTAGACCTCTACTTGGGGCAGCCTTATTTGGGCTTGTCACAGTGTAAGCGGTCGACTCTGCCCGAAGGGTCCCGCTGTACTTCATCTGCAGACCAGGGCACCTGGACCCAAGTCGTCCTTCAAGGCTCTCACGTTTCTCGCTCTGTTACGCTCATTCTCTTTGTTTGTTTTTTGCACATCGTCACAAGCCCACACGAGGCAAGTCCACAGTCGCTGCAAACATCTAACATTCCTCGAGGACGCTCTTCGTTGGTCACGCGCCGACCACCTGTACGCAATGCAGCACGCCTCGAACTCGCCGTGGCGGACGCCTGCGATGCAATATCCCAAACCCCAATACAGTCTCCAGCACACCATATCCATGGTCAACCTCCGAGACGATGATCAATCGTGGTACAACAACCGCGAGACCGCATCTCCAACAGTCTCGTCCGCCTCATCCGCAACCAGCCGGAGTACGACGCCCACAACAACGAACAACAACCCGTGGTCGAACGTAATGGTCAGCCCAGCTTCGACATATTCGAACAAGTCGTCCGACTCATCGTCGCCCAAAGGCAGCCCAAAACATACCCCGCAATACACCAGCCGATCGACAACGCCCCAGCCCATCGCCCCCCAGCCAATAAGGGTCATTAATCCGGTAGCAGGATTTGCGCCCATGTCACCGCCTCCCTCAGCTTCTGGCGAGTCGTTCAGGAATGGCGATTACCCGGGGTCACCCATGAACCCATACCGACAACCTGCTGCTCCCCTTGTTCCGTTGGTAAATGGATACATCAACACATCAATCTTATCTTCACAAGGCCAGTCTCTTTCCGGGTGGTTCTATGAGCTCGTGCGAAAGCAAGGATGGGACGCTGGCCTAGTCAAGAAGATATGGCAGTGGACGTTGTCGAACCCCAGGCTCGCAATCCTCTTGTTCGTTTGCGACGATGTCGCATCATGGCGCCAAGCTTCCTTCTTCGACCTTCGAGATGAAAGCCTGCCATTCCCAGAGGACCGTCTCCAAGGAATCGTAGGAAATGCGCGGAAGGTTGTCGATGAACAATGGCGTGCCACATCCAAGGAGTTACCGTTGACGGGAGCACATGTCGACTATACCGCACGTGAAACAGTGCCACTACAGCACGTCAGTCTCATTCGATCGTCGCGCAACTCTGAGAAGAGCGTCGACTGGGTCAAGATGCAAGGTAGCAGCGAGGATCGTGTGCTCGTGCGAAAGCGCTTTGTCACTGCTCGCTCCGCTCAAAAAGCTGCACTATTAGACCAGATCAATAAGTTCAAGCAATATGAGCACAAGAACATTGCGAAGTTACTTTGCTCGTATGCCCAGCCCAGTCATGTTGGCATCATCACAGAGAAAGCACAATACACTCTGGACGACTTCCTTGCGCTCCCCGGAAGCGACCCAAACCGCTCGAAGTTGCTGGTGGACTGGATGGGCGACTTGTCCTCCGCTCTTGAATATCTCCATTCACAGTCCATCTGTCATCGAAGTATTCGGCCTCGCAAGATTTTGATTGATGGTGCTCGCATCCTACTTGCTCCATTCGACATTGGGCAGAGCATTGACACATTCAGTCCGACGATGGCGAACTCCCAACGCCTGGACCAGCTACACACATACTTCCAAGATCAGTCCTACGTCTACGCTGCACCTGAGGCTATTGTCTCACGCGGCAAGAGAATGGCAGACGTTTTCTCGCTGGGCTGTGTTTTCTTGTCGATGATGACAGTCGCACAAGGCCAGTCGCTATCGGTGTTTGCACAATACCGGGCTGCGAACACCCAAGACGCCTCATATCATGCACATCTCGACCGGGTAGCAAGTTGGCGAAACCGGCTCCACGCTGCCACCACCTCGAACCTCCGAAACGGACTCATCGGGTCTGGAAGGAAGCTGAGGCAGCTGAAAGCGGAAGCCGACTGGCTGACTATTATTGAGAAAATGCTCCTACCGGGACCGAAAGAGAGGATCAAGATGCGCTTTGTGCTGGCCAGCCTAAACAGCGGCAAAGCTACAGGCGGGAGACGACGTAGCTTGGACGGCGGCGGTTACAGTGGGCAAGCGGCAGCATCGCTCGGCGTCAACGGAGCAACAACCGCGACGCTTGTCGACATCTCGGAGCATCACGCGCCACGAAAGCCGGAGCTAAGCGTCTTCGATGGTTATTTCCAGACGCAGACCCGCAGGTTAGAACCAGCGGGTGGTTGGTAATCGAGGGCTCGGACTTCGAACAGCGTGTCAGACATGAGGCTCGCGCTAGGGTGATACTTGGCGAAACATGTTAGACATCGACTTTTGATGGTTGTCGGGCAATTGGCATGCCGAAGCCAATGTTGAGTGTGAAACTTGACAGCTCAGGATGAGACGGAGCCCTATAACGCCTCAGACACGACATCGACGAGAATACGCCGAGGATGTGTGTATGGTGGCCACAGGCAGGGAGGCCTTTCTTACTTTCTTCATATCTTGTCCGTACTGGATTTGGGTCGGACCTTTGATACCCCTTCTTGCGACCCTATTTGGATGATTCTCTTGGCTACTTCTTTCCTTTCGTTTGCTTCCCGTTTCATAGCATCTTTATTAGCGACGCGGCATTCAGCGAGCATTTAGAGCAATGATCATGAGCTACATTTACACTAAGAAGAGGGCATTCACACCACCGTGACTATGGACTTGGACTTGGTGATGCGCCAATACACATTCATATATCCCTGGTGTCACCAATGGAATTTATATCCTTCGCTACCGCATTGACTACGCGTTTGAACGCAAGACAGATCAGTCACTCGCAGTCGCTATATTTCAGAATGATAGTTCATTTCGTAAGAGGAAAGAGCCGGATCAAGAGATGCATGGAGAGATTCCCCGAAGACGTAACCCGCTTCTACGTCGGTTGGTCCAACTTGCGATTGATTGAATGTATCGCAATGTGTACAGTGACGTTACTGAGAGCCCGGAGATACAGCAATGGTCAATGTTGGTGTGAAAAGCCAGGCACCCAGACTGCCCTTTTTGCTCTTGCGCCCCTTGCGAAATCAACAGGGCGAGATAAAGCGACGTAACCAGTCATTTCATAGTACATGGATGCTTTCTCATCGATGACAGAGATCCTCGGGGCTCTCACCTGGACATGTCCCTGTTCCAGTGCTAACCTCCCGCGGCGCTACACCTGTTGCAATCTAGAGTTATTGTCTCTCACTTTATCAAGCACATGGACACCAAATTTATAGCAACACAGAGAAAGTAGGATTGAGGATGGAGTCTGACCGTAGCTCCTTCCCCAGGACGCAGACGCGACATCCGTGCAGGACCTGACATCATCGACGCGTCGGTAAACAATGGTCACTCACCAAGGCCGCAGTAAGCACTCAAGTACATCAGAAGCTTCCAATACCTCTTCTCTTCACATCCACTCCCACCGCAACCAAAAGACGTCTCCGCTTCAACCATCCAACACGACCCCACATTTACTTCCAGTCTCGTCTCCCTTTGCCCATCGATTCGATGCCGGCCATCCACGATCTCAAGCCATCCAGATCTGGTGCTGGTCCCGCCAGTACAGAACTTCCTTCTCTCCGACTCGTGGAGCGCCGAGATGACCTATCTCGCGGAGAACGGCATTCCCGCCATCGGCGACAAGGAGTTCGACGCACTTGGTTATAACGGCGTAATATCAGCAAAGTCATTATACTGGCTGTCACGCAAACGCGAAGAGGATGATGAATGGACCATTGCTAAGAACCGTATGGGAACCAATGGGTTTCCACACCTCGCTTTCCACGTCGACAACTCTGGACGCAACCCCAAAGATGTGTTTGACGGTGCACACGACCCGGTGAATGACGCTGCAATGACACTCCTCAACGCGATCGGGTGCGCGATCGAACATGCAGCATATGAGGGCATACTGGACCGCGACGGAAAGCCAATGTCGTGGGACTCGACACCACCAGTGACGCCTACCTCGCCATGGCACATCGCCGCTGTTGATGCGGAGGGCGCCAACGTCCCGCGCAAGACCGTCCTGTCCGAATGGGGTACCGTCCATCTGCGGTCTGTGGATGTCGAACGGCTGCCCTATAGGCTTTGGTATACTAACTTCAGGTGTTCGTTCTCTCAATATCCTAGACTCCAATTGGTATAGCATTTGAAACCATGCTAACTTCTCCATAGGCACTAAGGTCATCGACAAAAGGTGGGCCAACGTCCACAATCCCTTCTGCCCTCGGCCCCGCGCCCGATTCCTGTGGTTCGACAAGCAGACTGTCATCAAAAAGCTCGACACAAAGGAGATAGGCGGGGCGATTCTCGGCGATCTTTCTGCCACGGGCTACACGCGTCGTCATTTTCATCTCTGGCCGGCGAACGAACGGGTGGCAGAGACCGCTGCAGCTCTTTGCGCTGGAGCAAACAGTGTTTAAGAGCGCACCGACCCGCATTCACCTTCCATGGACCTTTTTTGTTGTGGCCTTATGACGATTCCAATGGGCAGCCTATGTCTTGGAAATCGGTACCACCCGTACTGTCAACCTCTCCCTGGCACATCGCCGCCGTCGATGCCGAGGGCGCGGCAGTACCAGGACACCTCGTTCTCTCTGAATGGGGCACGGTGCACCTCCGCTCAGTCGACGTCGAAAACTTGCCCTATGACCAGTGGCACAAAAAGATCCGGTGTAAGTCCTCGCCTGACACCCAAGGCTTCAACCTCTTGTCAGTCTAATATACAGTACTAACTTCTCTCTAGGTTCCATGATCGTCGACCAGCAATACATCCACACCAGCCACCCGTACTGCCCTCGACCGCATTCGATGTATCTATGGTGCCTGAACCAGACTGTGCGCATTGAGCTTGAGGCAAAGGCCCTCGGGACAGCGATCATGAACGATTTGTCCGTTGAAGGTTACACCCAAACACACTACTCCAAATGGCCGGCCAACATTCGTGCTGCAGAATCCGCACCAGCGCCAGTCGTCGAAGAGGCCGCCCCGCCTTCGGCGCCGGTCTCAACGGTACTTGAGCGGGCCTTGATCGTCAACCGGTGGACAAACACTTGCGACCTTATACTTAGGCATATCATAGACAGTTAGGTTAGCTCTTGTAGAGAATTGTGCATAGTAGATCTATCTTTCTGCGTAGCTGCCTATAATAATTAGTTAGACTAGAGCCTCAAGTGCTATAATCATATCCGACATTCATATCCGACATCCGTTGAACGGTTTGGGACCCAACACCGGTCATAGTGCCATGATAGCAGTTACTACGGCCAAAATTCAAGAATAGTAATTGAGATGTTGATCACACGATGCCAGCGGAGACATTTGGTTGGGACTACACGTATCATCAGGAACTCCACTTGCGTGTGTAGTAATAACGGTCTATACAGATCTATCCTACAGACGCGAAGCTACCCACTCCGTCTGCACCAGCCAAGCTAGCTATGCAAATCAAGAAGCAGTCACCCTCACTCAACGCAGCAACTATCCAAGATGTCTCTTCGCGAAAGCGCAGCACACTGAAAGACACAGTCTATCCAGCATGTTCCACAATCTCACTAACAAGCTTACCATCCTTGACATAGCTTCTGATTTGCTCGGGCAACGGGTTCTCAGCGTAGTCGTCTTCGGTCGGCAGATTGATGTTGATACTACTGCACTTGCTTGTGAAGACCTCCGTTGCTAGCGAGTCCTTGGATAGGTATACGGTGGCGCCGTCGACCTGGTCGAGGAGGATGGTAGGGAGGGTGCCGAGGACCTGCAGCGCAAAGTTGGGGCACTTGATGACGTCTACGGAGCTGACTAGCGAGTCGATGATGAGGGATGTGCGGGAGGAGTTGTCGAGCGAGAGGGCGTTGGCTTTGCCGTTGATGCGGATGGTGGTGTTTTTGCAGCGCGAGATGAGGATGGAGTGGTTGATTTCGGCGTCGATTTCGAGCGTCTCGCCTGGGGAGTCGAAGTTGTCCTATGGGGGTGTTAGTAATGAAGCTATCTTCTTCACCAAGGATACATACTATTATCCACTTGTTTCCGTCCAGCTCCTTCTTCGGTGGCTTCTTCGTCCGCATGCTCTCCGGCTTCTTCGCCTTGGGCGGCGCAGGACTCTTACTCCTGAGACTGTCGTTGCTGTCGCTTCGTGTAGGAACCGATGCGCCTGCTCGCAATGATGGGTTCTTATGCGTCATTTGGCTTGGGTCGACCTTCTTAAGCCCCTTTGTAACATCTGAGCCCTTGTTGAGATCGCCAAAGACAGCGTTCATGTCGGGCGCGGCCTTCTTGGCCACTGGTGCGGCACCTGGTGGCGGCGGTGGGCCTGGTGGTGGTGGAGGACCAGGCGGTGCTGGGACGCCTCCTGCTGGAGGAGCGGGTGGTGGTGGAGGAATGTTGGACGCGCCAGAGAGAGGTGCCGAGGAGATTTCCTTTGCGGCATCTTTGGCGTCGATGCCGTTGCTGTTCCAAGCTACACCTGTAGCGTGGTGCTTCTTTGCGTATTCGGCGAGAGCCTTGAACAGCTTGTAGTAGGCCTGCACCCACTTGACGTGGGCTTCACCGTCGGGCCTGAATCTGTTAGCTTGGCCTCGATGCGAAAGCCGGAGTGTCTCACTTGTCCCGGTACTCCTTAAGCACTTTGTTGCCGTACATCTGAGCTCCGCCGAACAGCTCGTTGATGTGCTCATGGGGCTTCATGCCACCACCCTGGCCAATTGTCACCCACCCAAGCGACCCGACACCATCGGCAACCATGGAGACGGAGTCCTTGAGCGCAGGGTCGCGGTTGCTCTGTCGGAACTCGTCCGTCTTCTCCATGCTCGCCTGGAGGTCCTTAAGCAGCTCCATGAGAGTGCGGTCGTCGGGCTTCTTGGCCTTGTTCGCGATGAAGAGGAACTGGCGCTGGGCGGCGAATGCGCCCTCGACTGCTTTGGACTGGCCCTCAATGACGCTTCCCAGCTTGCTGCTCAGGTCCAGCCAGTTCTTCAGGTCCGAGCTGACGAGCTCATCGAATGCCTCAATCGCCGGTGGTGCGCTTTCTGCGACGAGTTTGGGGGTGCTGGCGCTTGTGTTGGCCGCCGTCACGCCTGGAGTGGCCTCGGTGGTCGCTCCATTGAGGCTGGCAGCTCCATCGCCGCTGCTGGGTAGAGAGGTGCTCGCGATGTCTTCGAGACGCGAGGTGGCAGCTTCGAGCCTGCGGACCATGTTCGTCAGTACATTATCTGCTGCGAGCTGTATTTGCCCCTGTCGACCGAGGATGTGTGCTTGTTCGGGCCTGGGAGCCATCGTGGGGTCGTTTCATAGAGGATGCGGGAGGCGCAGAGTGTGGTAGGATGATGGGTTCGGGTGCTGGTAGGTGATAGTCTCGGACGGAAGGTACTTACCGCTTGATCAGCGTCGTCAGGTTATTCATGTTGTTCGCCATGTGGAGAAGGCACGTCGCAGCGTTTGCAAGGTAGGACAGGTATCTTGAATGCTCGGGGAAGGGGCAGCCGCGGCACGCTGCAGCTCGTGCGACGCGATCTGGCTGGTTCGGAGTAGAGAGAGGCCGTGATCCAGCAATCCAAGCTCTCGATGATAGGAATATGAGACTGTCGGAGATATTTAATTGGAAAAGCACAATTGCAGGCAGAACCTCACTGGGTCAGCTCTCCCCGGCGCATGGCCACGGCTGCCCACGTTGCGCTAGCCGTCTGCAGCCAAGCCTGGTCCGTTCGAGACATGCACGTCAGCGGCAGACTATCAACCTTGCGATCTACACAAGCCGACATGGAAACATCCAACATGGCCGACGCAGAACACGACAACTATGGCAAGATCGATTTCTGCACGCTGGGAATGTTCATCATCGGTATGCATCAGATATCCTTCAACACAGGCAAGCCACTGAACTTGTCAAGATGAGATTGAGTTTCCCCCACCAAAACCGCCAGTCAAAGACATTGTTGGCGGAGCTGGATCATATTCCGCATTAGGCGCACGCATCTTCTCCCCACCGCCACAATCAGAGGCTGTGGGCTGGATTGTAGACTGCGGGTCTGACTTCCCACCTGAACTGCGCGACTTTATTGCACAATGGAAGACTGGTGCACTGATACGTGAGACGCCCGATCGGCTGACTACGCGAGGTTGGAATGGATATACTGGTGAAAACGAGCATCGAGGTGAGTACATGTGTTCCTAGTGGGTGATCACATGTCTAATCACTCTGGTGAAGCTTTCCGATACTTGACGCCGAAGCTGCGCGTTGACCATGAGGATCTGAAGAATACAGATCTCTTATGGTCCAAGTCCTTTCATCTGATCTGTTCCCCGTTGCGTTGCATCGACCTGGTTGAGAACATCATTACATTGCGCAAGCAACACCCTAACTCGGCTCATATTCCTCGGCCAATATTCATCTGGGAGCCTGTTCCTGATCTTTGTACGTCCGAAGAGTACGATAATTGCCTGGAGGCGCTAAAGCATGTCGACATCGTCAGTCCGAATCACGGGGAACTTGGCGGCTTCTTTGGCAAGAACACCGACGGGAAGGATCATGTGGATTTCCGAATAATCGAAGAGCTATGCAGTCAGTGGCTAGATAGTGGTGTGGGTAATGGCAATGGTGGGGTCGTCGTGCGTTGTGGGAAAGACGGTTGCCTGGTTATGCGCAAAGAGTTAGGCAACGGGTTGCGCAAATGGATGCCTGCGTACCACCAGTCAGCAGAGAAGGTGGAAGATCCTACAGGAGGAGGCAACAGCTTTCTCGGCGGCCTGGCGGTCGGCCTGGTTCGGGTCCCAGGGTATCTCGAAGAGGCTGTGATTTGGGGGTCCATCTCGGCGAGCTTCGCCATTGAGCAAGTCGGTATGCCCGTTCTCTCACAATCAGCAGACGGGGAGACGTGGAACGGGGTTCGTGTCGAAGATAGGCTTTCAGATTTCAAGCAGCGCCTGGCTAGTTATATACAGCCATAGTCGTGGTCGCTGTTTCCTCTCCCCCACTCCCAACCAATCTAACCTTCAAGAGTCTTCTCGATGATGCTCTGGTCTTGTTTCCGCTCGTGTTCCCGAATCTGTTTGGTCCAGCTGTTTGTTGTTAGCTTCCAAGTCTGATCTGAGGATATCCGTGGATGTCGTACTATCGGCTGGGGAAGAATCGGTGGCGTTCGGGCATCTTGTCGCGGTACTCGCGGTTTGCGCTGAGCATCCAAGCCATGCCGACGATGCTGCCGAGGGCGAGGCCTACGACGGCCGTGTTGGCTTTCCAGTTGGCGGGTTGGGCGTACCAACCACCGGCCGGCGACCAGACGTGCTTGGGGTATCTAGTCGACGTCAACTCTGCACTGGCAAGCGATTGGCGGGCAGCTCATACGGGATCTTTCCTCCTCCGCCCATTGTAAAGGTGGTTGTGCGGGTTCGTGGGGTTGCTGTTGCGGAGCTGCCCTGAGGTCGCTGTCGCATGGGAGGGCTAGCACGGGCCCCGAAGCTTGGCGGAAATTCTTTGGCAGTCGCGATCATTACCTGTGTGAACACACGACCGGCCAATTGCTGCTGCTGCCGACTCCGCCTCTCCTGATCCTGCTGCCGTCTTCTCCTACATTTTGTCTTAATGAAGCGGATACCCATATCACGATGCGCCTCGCAATTGCTGGGTGCACCCTCGCCACGCCGGCCCTCGTGCCCATACACAGCGGCAAAGAACGTGCGGAGAAGCATTATACCTCATAGCCCCCGGACACAGGCTCGGTTCCAGAGCACAGTAGCAATTCCGGACGACGGTGAATTGGAACTCGAGATTGCCGCAAACTCTGCCACACCGTCAACGTCAACACCCAGACCAAGAAGGCGTCTCCCGCTCGAGAGCCTCCCATCTCCACATCCCAGTGCCGCCGAACGTTCGACAAAATTATACGCCCTCCGCAGTCGATTATCTCTCCCACCTCGCTTCCCCCTCCCGGTTCTCGCACGAACCCTCATCCACCCCTCCGCCGACCCAAACCCCGCTTTCAATAATGCCTCGCTATCAATACTCGGACGCCAGCTGCTTGGCTACTACACTTCCGAGTGGCTTCTGTGCAACTACCCACGCCTGCCAATGGACGTTGTCTTCGCCGCAACAGAGGCATACATCGGACCGAGAGCGTTGACCACAATCGCAAGCGAATGGGGTATCGAGGCGGCGGCGGAGCCGGGTGGTGAAGTCGACCCTGGCTTATTACAATTCAAGAGGATACAGTCGGGCGATGCCCTCCCAGCAGAGTTGAGGCGGCAAGCACCCTGGAAGTGGAATATTACCACCACACACAAGATCATGAAGACAGACGAATTTGGCTCCGACAATGCCGCACCCAGCCCGCACGCGCTACAAAGCACGCCAGTACCACTGGAAGAGGCAGCACAGTCCTTCGTCCGAGCACTCATCGGCGCATTACACGTACACCTGGGCTCCCCGCTCGTCAAGCGCTTTTTCCGTGACCACTTCCTGAGCCGACATCTCGACATCAGCACAATTTTCGATTTCCGAATGCCGACACGCGATCTTTCACGGTTATGCGCACGAGAAGGCTTCGAGCCACCGGTTGCCCGATTGATCTCAGAAACCGGTCGTCTGAGCAGACATCCTGTCTTCGTGGTTGGCGTATACAGCGGAAGGGACAAGCTAGGAGAGGGATCAGGCAGTTCATTAGATGAGGCCAAGACAAGAGCAGCGGCAGCAGCATTGAAGGCATGGTACCTATACAAGCCGGTCGAGGTCACCGTCCCAAGCAGCATGGAGGGCGAATTGGATACGAGCAAGTGGCGGCCGAACCACATCGACCACGGAGAGGTCATTGTGTAAGATACGCGGCATCAACCCAACTTTTGGAGTTGTAGGGATATACTTTTGGCATGCATGGCATGGATGGACGGCATACTCTTCGCTTGTACAGATTCATGATAGCGCAGGGGGGCAGGAAAAAGAACTGTGTCGGAAGAAGGCCGGAGAGGAGGGGAAGACTTACCCCACGTTTTGCTACGTCGAGGGTTCAGGACCGCGCACCCTGCTAGTACTGCGCATGTATCATATGTGACGTGAGGATATCATGATGATCCGCAATGTGTACAATACAAACGAAACGCTGCATCACAATACCCATTGCTTGTTCTTCCGGTTATGATTTAGAGCTGGAATGTGATGATCTGTGACTTTCGCCCAGGAATACTCCGGCTCAAACTGTGCCTTTCGTAGGGAGGAGCGCGGATCACAAGAGATCAAACTGGCGACCGTGACGTATTCAACTTACCCTACCTTGGCGACATTCAACTCGTAATAGCTGCAATTGCATCGTCACAGGACCTGCGCGAAGAGAACAACAGAGCCCACAATCCAGCTTCCCTGAAACATCTCTCGCATTCCGGAGTAGTTTCAGTCCTGGTAGATAGCGACTATCTAGGCATTGCAAGGGTTGCTGGGTCGGTGGCGGCGCGCATCCTTGCAACTCCTCTCGCGCGGCACAAATAAGGCCCAACACTTCCACGTCGGGTGCGGAGAAGTACGAACCCTTCTGTGGAAACACAAAATCGCCAACAAACATGCCACCAAAGCGCACCGCGACTGCTCGTCATGAGAGGTCCACTGAGGCCTCTGTACGAGCGCACAAGAGGATCAGAATTGAACCAGAAGACCCGCCGCCTGATCCCGTGCCCGATGGCTTGAGGGAAGCCAGATCAGAGATTACCAGGTATATTGAAGCAATGGAACGAGTGCCACTCCGCCGTCGGCTTGATGTGCATTGGAAGATTGGTGGTGTTCCTCGCGGCGACCCCGAAAACATCATTCGCGAACTAAATGTCGATCATATCAAAGAAGTAATGGAGCGTGACGCCCAAGTCAGTGCAGCGTTCGCGTCGCTCAAAAAGACGTTGGAAGAAGGCAAGCCCGCCCCGGGCATTTACAATCCTTACGTCAAGCACGGCAAGTGGAGTCTTTTCTCAAGCGAAGTCTTTACGGAATTCCTGCTCTGGAATATCGACAATATGGACTTTCAACAGTTTTGCGTGGATCAATGGATCGAGTTTCATGATCCTGAAGCAGAAGTGGACCTCATGGACTGCTGGTGTGGGCGTCCGGAAACTTTCGGCACTATCGTTGGACCCAGGCATATCAAAGGAGAGATCAAAGCGTTCGACTGGCCACAGGAGGCTTCTCTCGAGCCCATTGTCGTACGAACATCGAGTCGGTGTCGGGAAGTCAAGATGTGGTTCGCAGGAAATGGGTACATGAGGATGCAATGCGAAATGGGTACTGTAGACGAGCTCGCAAAGGGACAAGGGACAACGGTGACTTGGAATGCGATACAAATGACAAAGGAACGCAAAGAGCGTGAGCATAAAGAATTCATGGCCCGAAGGAAGAGGCAGGATGAAGAACGCCGGGTCAAACAAGCGGAGGAAAGGAGGAGACGGGAGATGGAAGAAGAGAAAGCAAAAGAGCAAAAGAGGGAAGATCATAGGCTTTGGGTAATAAAGAATCAGAGGAGACTGAAGTTGAGGCAGAAATGGGAAGATGGTGACATTAATAGTTCGGAGCTGGAGCTGAGCACCGAGGAAGAAGATGGCGAGGGCGCCACTGACGCGGAGGAAAGTCGCTCTTCTGCGTCGCCTGAGCCGTGGGATTCGTCAACAGGCGAGGAGGATTGGACTGAGTCGGAGTCGGAAGAGGAGGAGTCAGAAGAAGAAGAGGAAGAGGAGGAAGAAGATTCAGATGAAGAAGAGCCCGAATCGTCAAGATTTTAGCGGAACATCGACTGCCTTCCTCATTCAGAGCATTATCTGTACAATTTGGCTAGTACTATGACATAATGAGGTCCTCGCAGTCTTTTCAGATGTTGGCATATCCATGTAGACGACAACGTAGTAGACTTCCGAGGAACATCTGCCTGTGATCAATTGAGGAAGTATAGGTTATGTAGTCTCCCGCATGTTACATGCGGGCGTGTATTAGCTTCTTTGTGGATGAATATGAAGATGTAAACAACGCAACATGTTTCCAAACCACACTCGAATTTCGTTGGCGAGGTAAAACCAGCACGTGCGACCACGTGCCCACCACTACGACGCCTTCTCTCACCTTCAGGTAAAGGTAGCAGGTCTGATCGACGGGTGTATACTCAACCTCGTTACTGACCTATCTCCCAGTCTCCTACACCACACTCGACATCGTTCATAACTCAGCATCGACTAAAACACAATCCTCAACATGGCCGACTTCGGTATAGTACCTGTCATGGAGATAAACTGCGAGGCTCCTATGTCGACACTCTACACAGAGCTGGACGAACAGGAACAACGCGGTAAGCTTTCTTTCATCTCCGTTCGATCTACGGATACTGACTGTATATCCGCAGTCACTGCAGGTACTCCAGGAAGCGGCATTAGCACTGGCATTCCAAAGGTGGAAGTCAGCATGGCCAACGCCAAGAAGGTCGGAAGAGTCATTGCAGCGTACTATGGCACTGTTCCCAATGGTTTCTTGGCCACTGTGGTGGGATTGCACGTCGACGCTGCCAAAACAGCCACCGCCGCAAAGACCTTTCGTAGGATGAAGAGCGACCTCTTTGTCGAGAAGTTCGGCAATAACTCATTCATCTACAAGTTCGCTCGCGGCAAGGTCAGCACGTCCGACTTTCTCACCTATCAACATAATTTCGCCATCGAGGCGCGCATCTGTGAGTTCGCGATTCCAAACGAGGATGAGGGCGCCATTGTTCGTCGCAACGCCAAACGCCAGGCATTACTCGATGCAATGGCTACCAGTGAGCAAGTCTGGGTCGACACCTACACCGTCGCCTTCAACAAGGCTAAAAAGGCACACGAAAAAGCACGTGGTCTTGGGAAAGTCCGCCTGGCACGAACCCGCGACCTTTTCGAGACGCTCATGGCTAACCCGCCCCGTTACGCCGTCGACGTTACGACGCTCCTGAACCGCCGAGCATGCGAACAAGCAAAGATGATCCCGTTGCTACTCCGTACGATGGACGAGCGCGTCAGGTTCTGGTTCGATCACGTTGGCAAAGACACAATCGCGTCTCACCTTGGGGCAGCGATGTCTGTGGTCGACATTCGGTGAGTATCTACTTTACGGACATAATCGAGACTTTTTGCACACTACTAATCTCCTACAGGCGCATGTGCACCGATGAAGTTGCGAACCCTCCGGATGTCATCCCTCCGTTCCACACAATTGTGGGGAACGTCTTTTCGTACTCTTGCGAGCTTCTGCATCGTCTTATCATCGCGCCGGAGGACGGCAAGCGTGTGCTGCTGCTGCTCAATGATCGTTCCCTCCGAATGGCAAGCGTCGACATGTCGGGTGACAGGTCCACCGAATGCTTCGAGCTCATCCGCGGCCTTCGCAATTCTCTGGACTTTGGGGCAGCAGGAAACGGATCATGGAAGGATATCCCGGTGTTGGTCCCAGAAACTCGAGGAAAGAAGCGCTCAATGCCTCAAGAAGATGAACAGGATATCGAATAGGCTGGTAGGAAAGCCTTTGGTGCTGCCAGATGGGAGAATGGAATCTGTAGTGAGGAGTTCGGTCCAGGTGGCTTGGAGAGGGATGGATGACGTCACATGACAGCCAAGGATGGCCTGTGCTCGGTCGATACGCGTCTCGCGTCTTACAAGTTAGGAAACCACGCGATATCCCGGCGTTTACATCAACATTTCGTTACAAAAGTTTGTGGCTTCGAGACTACTGTAGCCGTCTAGGTTATAAATGCGTGTATGGGATACTCTGAAAAGTCTTGCTGTAGTAGGCAACAGGGAAGAACTTGCCACAATGGATTCTCACTTGTTCAAAGTCGCTCCGCCATTGCTGCTGCTGCTTACCTAGGTACACACACACCACCTAGGCATGTACGGTCCCAAGGAGAGGCGGTTTGAGCGAGCACGTGTCTTTCCCACCATGCTTATAGTACCTAGGTATCGAGGTGAGAGACGCACGCGGCATTACGGCTGCCCCAACCACAGCCCCGCTTCCTCCCGTCCTTGGGTAAAGGCAATGGGTTGGATGGGCCGGTATATACTTCAGTTCTACTGCTGACTTGACTTCCAGTCTTCTACACTCTTTTCTCAACGGCATCATTACAATACTCTTTTTCTAACCACATTCTTCGTTCACCACACCCTTCGCCACAATGGCAACAGTCTCAGTGAACGTCCCTCCGGAGATCTGTCCCGAGGTCCCCGCATTCACTCTATGGTCTGAGCTCGTGGAGCAGCAGCAGCGTGGTGAGGTTGACCAGCAATACTGTGTATCTTACAATGCTAACTGTGTATCCTCTGTAGTTCCAGCAAGTTCACGCAACAGTGGCTTCAACGTCAACGACCCTGTATGGCCAGTCAACCAAGATAGCGTAACCGCGAGGGGAAGGCTCCTGTCTGCCTACTACGGCACGGTGCCGATCGACATGGGCCATGCGACTGCGGGTTCGCCAGACGACGAGTTATCACAGGATCATGCGGAAGTTCTTACCAATGATGCTCGAAACACGGTTCAAACAGAGCGGTACGGTCCGAAGTCGTTCATTCAAAAGTTCCTCCGCGGGAAGTACAGTACCATCGAGGTGAAGACACTTGCTACGAACTGGAGCTTGGAGGCGATTGTGTGTCAGTTTGCAGTTCCAGGCGAAGACCAAGCAGCAAGAGATATCCGAAACGCAAACTGCGAGGTATATCTCCAGGGTGTCCAAGATCTTGAGCAGCTATGGGAGCGTGAGTATGCTCACGCTTTCAAGTCTGCTGTCAAGTCTGCTGCTGATGCCAAGGGTCTGAACAAGAAGCGGCTGGAACGCGCTCGCGAACACTACCTGGCGATGAAAGGCGCGCCCCCAGTCTTTGACATTGATCCACCCAATGGTGGTCAGTACTGGGTGTCAGCACGCGAGTGCCAACAGGAGAAGCTGGTCCCGTTCATGAACCGGGCCAAGGTTGATCGTCTGAGGGCGTACGAGGGGTACTTCACAAAATACATGGTCGCATCTCATTACAACACTATCATGAACATCGTGGACATTCGGTAAGTGTTTGATTCCGGTTCAGCATGTGGCATTGCTCAGTTTAACTAACATTTCTCAGTCGGCTTGGTGAGAATTCCAACATCCACGGCATCCCCCAGTTCTGGTCGATGATCCTCAATCAATGGACAAACACTTGCGATCTTGTACTCAGACACATAACGGACCCTCAGCTCGGCATTCGTAGGGAATTGTTGATGATAGATCCGTCACTCCGCGCGGCCGCCTACCACAATTGGTCAGACCGTAGCCTTGAGTGCTTCTAGCATATCCGCCGACTCTTTAACCGCCTCGGTTACAATGCCGGCTACGGTAATGGAAAGATATCCCGATTCTGCGCGTGGGCCACCGAGGCAGGAAGCGAGCGAGGACCAACGAGTGAAAGGCATGTAGCAAAGCGCCGCCTGAATTGACAGGTGATGGTCTAATGTACGGAGTGGGAACGGACTGAGACGACGACATTGCGTCGGCTCAATGCCACGGTATCTTCATTTATTGCGCGCGAATACTACGACGGAGTTAGCCCCGATGAGACGAGCGAGTGATTTGACTTTGGATGCGACGATCCTTCCCGAGCCACCGGAGTCTTCGCCCATGCACAACCATCAATCCCCATCAATTCGCGTCGAGTGACCTTCGACCAATCTTTGATGCATATCAACATCGCGTTATCGTTCAGCGAATACATTATACGCGGCGGCGAAACACCTAAGTGCAAACGAGGCCGTTCAGCTTGTGACGAGCCACCAACCATCGACGGCGATATCGCGGCGGGAATTGTACGCCGGAACTCACCCCGACGAGACGAAATGATGTCCGAGCTGTGACACGCGCTTCAAATCACCCACAGGATCGGTTGACCACGTTGCAGTGCAAGCTCTGGGTGGTGTGCGTTGCTCCATCTACCTGCTTCTCGCAAACGCACCACCCACGAAATCTTCATCCCGGTGGGCTGTGCAGCTTATTATCAGTACCATCATCGCCCACTGGCATACGGCGGCGAGTGCGCAGCACTGCGCAAACACGACTCCGGAAACTTGGACACACGGCGCAACCTCCAATAGCCACTATGTAGGAGGCCCTGAGATCCATCACGGTCGCTCTTTGTGGACCTTCAAGCAAGTTCAAGTCCTCCCTTCGCCCTGTTCACCACACAGCGCGTACCGGCTCCAGGTTGCATACGACGACTGAACAACGCTCATCAACAGCTGTAAGCCATCGGGGTCTGATCATGTTCACCAAAACGGCAGTCGGAATCGATGGAGATGCTGCGGACATGTTGAGACTATGCTTTGTCAACAAGTCTAGTCCTACAGCACCGAAGCATACACACGTGTGGTAGATATCTCATCCTCGTTCGGAGAAACATATACTAACACAGTTCTTTACAGGCATTTGCCCATCTTGCCGATGCAATAGCTGTCATTAGCGAGATCTAGCTTTCCACGCTTTAGGACGCTACTGCTGACCTCGCGCGCGTATCGCCTGTATGTGTCCTGCGGGTCATTGGCTACGTAAGATTCACTCGATTAAAACGTCGTACTCTACCATGTCATATCAGTGTAGCAAGACTGGTATCGCTCGACAGTAGCAGACACTGGGAACATGTGCACGGAGATTGTCGGTCACCCCACCTCAGAAAGAGCGGGGATATATTCAAACAACTATTACACGACGAACAAGTTTCTCAAGTCGCTCGAATACCTCCAGGATGGCTCATGACCAATCACACTCATGTCACAGAGACCGATGTATACGTCCAGACGCCGCTTTTTCTTTGATCACTGATCAGATTGTTTTCATCCGTATCTACATTATGAGGGAAAAGATATACTAAAGGAATCATCCAGGTTACTCGCGCCACCAACTCTTCTACCCCACCACATCTATCGTGGTACCTCCAAAGGGTGCAAGGTTCGTCTAGTTGTTCTGCTTGTTCTTGCCGCCGGCACCTCCAGCCTTTCCTCCCTTGCCCTTGTGGTGCGGCTCAGGCATAGCCTCACGGTTGTTGAGCTTGGCCTTTCCACCAGCACCACCAGCCTTGCCTCCCTTGCCCTTGTGGTGCGGCTCAGGCTCGCGTCCGAACAGCTTGGCCAAACCGCCAGCACCGGCACCTCCAGCACCACCAGCGGCACCACCAGCCTTACCTCCCTTGCCCTTGTGATGGGGTTCGGGGACAGCCTCGCGGTTGTTGAGCTTGGCCTTTCCACCAGCACCACCAGCCTTGCCTCCCTTGCCCTTGTGGTGTGGCTCAGGCGCACGTCCGAAGAGCTTGGCTAAACCGCCAGCACCGGCTCCGCCAGCACCTCCAGCCTTGCCTCCCTTACCCTTGTGATGGGGCTCGGGCACGGCTTCGCGGTTGTTGACCTTTCGGCCACCAGCTCCGCCGGCAGCCTTGCCGCCCTTGCCCTTGTGGTGGGGAGAGCGAGTGTGGAGGTCGGCCCAGTGAGCGTCGTCCTCCTCCTGGGTGAGCTCTTCGGCCTGGCGGTTGTTGAGCTTGCCTCGGCCACCAGCACCTGCACCTCCAGCAGCTTTTCCGCCCTTGCCCTTGTGGTGAGGGGAGCGAGTGTGGAGGTCGGCCCAGTGAGCGTCGTCCTCTTCTTGGGTCAACTCTTCAGCATCACGGCCGAAAAGCTTGGCCAAGCCGCCAGCGCCACCGGCTCCGGCTCCAGCACCTCCAGCCTTTCCGCCCTTGCCCTTGTGATGAGGAGAGCGAGTGTGGAGGTCGGCCCAATGAGCATCGTCCTCTTCCTGGGTCAACTCTTCAGCATCACGGCCGAAGAGCTTGGCTAAGCCACCAGCGCCGGCGCCACCGGCACCAGCACCGACACCGCCAGCCTTTCCACCCTTGCCCTTGTGGTGACGGGCTTCGACTCCACGGTCTGCAAGGGCAGCAACGAGGTTGGATGTGTGGACAGGTCCGCTTCCCTGGAGAACTGTAAGTATATGACATGCCAAGGATCATCGCATAACTTACTGGCATGCGTGCCTTGACAGCATTGTCAACGGCTTGCTTGTTGTTTGGCACAACGTAGGCAGAGGTTGAGGCACCCAGGGCCAAAAGAGTAAGTGCGGTAAATCTCATATTGAATAAAGTTTAACTGAGTCTGGAATCGGTTGAAAGAATGGATCTGCCAGCAGAGAAGAATGGATGAAACAGAACTGAGCAGGATGTGAGAAGGAATGAGCACGTTCAACGTTGATGCCTTTTACTTCTGGAGCTTCGAGATGCTTTATAAGTCAACTCGACTCCTGGTAAGCACGGCGGTTGCATGCTTGCTCGCTCTCGCCTTCAACTCCTGAGACATGTTGCATTGCCTACGGCACAGAAGCGGAGGTGGCACCCCACCTGCCGCCTGCAGGAAGCCACTGTGCTCGCTTCGATACGATGGCGATGGAAGGCGTTTGCATGGGAAGCCAAACACAGAAAGTCTTGACGGCCTGGCGTCTCCACCAACGACACCGCCAGCCGTCGACAAGGCCTGTCGGTGTCTCGAGAACACGGTCATGTCCAACCCAGCCGCCAGGCTACGAGGTCCTGCCTCAGGCTCCGCGACAACACCCACCGGGTACCTTTCGCGCATCGCCAATGCGATCTGGAGCTTGCTTTGATAGAGACTGTTGGTCCTCGGGAACTGACCACTCATTTGGTCGAGACTAGTCCAGAAAGGGTTTAACGTCGGAAACCATTGGCGCGCAGCCGCGGTTCTGTTGTTCCAGCCCCGGCAACTTTTGACGTTATTTCCGTTGTTCTGTCATCATGCAGTTGGGACGTTTGTTCCATGTGCGTGTCATGTCAGTGTAAGAATCTCGTTTTGGCTGGCGCGCCAAGCTGAAACGATGGTGCCGAATTATGAACATCCAGTCTTGGCTAAGTGTCCACTTCGAAACCCATGCAACAGTTGAACCAACGAAAAAGCGGCGACGATCCCGCCTTCTGCGTCTCAGAAGGCTTGGTAAAAGCTTGATGCCTTGGAGCAAGGCTAATGTTGCCTGGGCAGATGGAACAAGACGCCTTGGAGAAAGCGGCCTGCACGGCATAGCGGCACCCTTTGAGATGTTCCGTGTTTCGGTGACCTACCCATGGCGATACCGAGAACGTATCGGGGGTCGATGTTAGCAGGTCTACCATAGTCTTTCGCGCCAACGTCTCCCACTTACTCGCTCGCTGGTCTTCCATCCCCATTCACCTTCGTCTTGTTCAAGCGTTGAGCGCAGCATTCTATTCTCTATCGCAGGTCGACTAATCCTTCTTCTTTCAACATCACTTGGTAGTGCTTTCATCTCAGTCATTGTATTCTTCGCGCATTCGAAAACCATCATGGAAAAATACACCGACTCTAGCTCATCGCAGGGCGATGCCGAAAATACCGCTTTTATCACAACACCCTACCAAAGCGATGATAGGCAACGGCGGAGAAGCTACATCTATCTTACACTCTTCAACCTGTTCCTTTTCACAGTGTCAATGCTGTCGTTACTATGTTCGGTCATGTCGCAAAAAGACTACTCGGGTCACTCAGCGGCTAAGCTAATGGATCAGTTCGACATATTCTGTACGCACCAAGTTCTTCATCGCACTCCTCAGGAATACCTGCTGATATGACCTAGCGCCTGCAAAGCACGTCGTCGAATACAGCCACACAAAGTTTGAACTACCCAACCCTTTGAACTCTTCGAAGTATGTCGGTATTACCGATGATGTAGAGAACGCATGGATGGACGTCGCATATCGTAAGTCACCATCCCTACTCCCCTATACCCGCGCCCTCTCCGCCCAACCCCCATCACTAACACAGCACAGTGCCCGACCAGATGGTCTCCATGGAAGACTTCCCCAAGCTACAAAAGCCCGCCGACGCCCTGCAAGTCACCGACCCCAAGACAGGCGAAACAGGCTACCGAGTTGGACTTGAAGTCTTCCACCAACTGCACTGCCTCAACCTCCTCCGCATGGCAACCTACCCCGACTACTACCCCAAGCTCTGGTGGAGCGACACCAACGACAAGCCTGAAAAGGTCAGGGCGCATCTAGACCACTGCATCGAGATCCTCCGCATGAACCTCATGTGTCTTTCTGACGTCAACGTCTTTACTTTCCACCCGCAAGAGGGCAAGGAGGGATACTGGCCTGACTACGAGAGTCACCATGTATGCAGGAACTTTGACAAGATCAAGGATTGGGCCAACGACAATGCGATGCCGGACCTTGATGTGTAGGCTTAGCTTTCTTGCCGTTAGAGACGGCGCGTGTAAATAGAATAATAGTATCTACAATACATCAGCGGGTGGAGCAGCATGATCATGTAACAAATCCAATGCTCATGATGAGTGATCGATCACCCTTGTTGCCGTTGTTGCATGCTGCATGTTGTTCACTCAAGCTTCTCTTCCCCATATGAAACAGGCTGTTTCAGTTTCGCATCACAGTCCGAGTGTTTCGCTGCTCTTATGCAGCTTTTTCATGCAGCATCATGCTTTGTTCTTCCAACTGCTTGGGCAGAGGGCACATGAATCGCTGTCGAATTGCTCCGGTCGGTGGCCGCAACGATGACGCCCTTGCTCAGATGGGCAAGGTTACGAGAGCGAATCAGTACGTTGGTGCAAGGAGACCTGCGACGTCGGCTCGCTTTTGCACTCATGTCATCGTGGATCAGTTGGCTGAACGTCATGATGCTATGCAATACAAGCTTTTATGAGTATAGAATGGTATGCAATGACGCCAACAAATCAGGCAAATTAGAAACCCTCTAGCCAAATAGTTCAATATGAACCCCAAGAATGAATGCAAATAATGGACATCTAGCAATGTCAAGAGTGGGGTATATGTCAGTGACAAGCAGAATAGCCGCCGAAGCAGTCCACCGTCTTCTAAACGCCGGAAACCATGTCTTCCTCCCTGATGACGTGTGTTAAAGGTCTAGATCCGGCATTTGTAGATCGTCGCCTGGCTCCATAAGGTTCATGAGATAGCGTGAGCCGGAGAACCAGTCCTGCATGGGATTGGAATTTCCCTGAGACGCTCCAAATCCGAAGCCTGACGAACCAACGGCATCCATGTTATTCATCGCCTCGCCTTGCTCAAACGCGGTCGTTGTGGCTGCAGTCGAAGCGTTGGGATATGTCGTGGGCCATGCGATATCAGGCATCAATCCAAGCGCACTAAGATACGGATCGAACTGAGACATTGCGTTGAGGTCCAGCTGCGTGCCATCAACGGTCGTGTAATACCCTGACTGGTTATTTTGCATAATTCCCCGTGATCTTGACGCAGCATCCTGTTTCTTAGCTGTGACGTAGAGCCTGGCAACTCGTAGGAAAAGATGGCACATCTTGTAGAGCTTGTCTGCGCCTTCGGAAATCGTGCGGCAAGATTCCAGGCTGCCGACAAACTCGGAAAGGGAGTTTAGATCTGGCTCAACGTCGGACGTATCGGCCTTTTGGATGGAGTGGCAGAATATCACGATGAAACTACAGGTATGAGTTAGCTGCGACCGTGCGCTGCAAAGAATCAAGTGACTTACGGTGTGAACGGTGCCTGAAGAACCGACCAGTGTACATATCCCGACCAGAAGTCCTCCTGGCCCTTTTTGTTGAACTGTGCACTAGCCCTCATATGGGCGACAAGGGCCGCTCTCGAGGATTCGAGGCACTCCTGATTAAAGCTCATATTTCCTGGACTGACCGCGCGCTGTATGAGCGCACAGGTGGAATAGTGCATGACGACATCGGAGTGGAAGAAGATGTCTTGGACTCTCTCGAAAGAGCCTTCGACCAAGAAAGTCAGTGGAGTTCAAATTTCGCAGGCGGTGAAACTTACCCTGAACGTATTCGTTGACTTCTGGTCCTTCTTTACCCAGAGATTTGTGCACATAGCGCTTGTATTGAGACGGGAGTGGTGTCTCATTTGGACTGTTGCCTATTTTGTTCGATCTCGGCGTACCGAGATGATATGTTTGGCCTTGCTGCGAAAAGTCGACGATCGACGCATCCCCACGCTCGTACCAGGCTTGGTTAAGACTGTTGACAAGTTCGATCGCGATTCGCGTGCGCTCTTCCGTCGATTTTGCAAAGGCGGCAGGGCAAAATAGCTTCTCGTATGTCAGGCCCTGGACTCGCGCAACCTTAATCCAGTACGACAAGAAGGCGCTTGATTCGGCGTGCTTGTCGCTGGATAGTACAAATGGTAACGATATGTCCCAGTCCTGGAGGATACTTGAGCGGCCCAAACGTAGCGAAAGCGTCTTGTCAAGCATGTAGATCATCCAAAAGATATGGATCTTCGTCTGTCTGTCTTCGGGATTGTCGTCTATCATAGTGTTGATTCGATGCTAAATGCAGGAAGTCAGCGGTCTGCTCACACGCATGCTGCACATGAATGCTTACATAGCCCAAGCTCTGACACAAGCCCGCAGCACTGGATATCATGATCCAGCAAAGAGATGGCTTGCACATCTCGACCGCCTGCGCAGCGCCAAGTACCAAAGCCATGATGTTCTCGAAAGTTGCGGGTAAGAATATAGCCAGCTGCGATAGTGCTACCTCTGTTTGCCTGCGACTTATGATGGCGTACGATTGATAGTTGGCGGTGTCCATATTGACCAGTGGCAAGGTCCGGAATTCGTTGAACACGTTCTCCAACACGCCGAACGTGAGCACACGGCGAGCGGCGCTACAAGTTTCTGGGTTATGATACACATCATAGAAGATGTCTTTGAGATTGGCCATTCTCAAGAACGGAAACACCACTGCGAAGGCCATAGTTGGATATTCTGGTCATGTCAGATCGGCTTGAAGGGTGCAAAGTCTGTAGACATACCACTAGCTTTCTCCAAAGCATAGCACGCAGTTTCCCAAGGCGGTCGTTCCAGCTTCGATGGGTCAATATCGACAAGTGACTGGTTGATCAAGGGGTTGGAAGTTGCAGGGTTTTGGCCGTGCTGAGAGACCATCTCCGAAAGAGCAGTAAGTGCCAACTTGACTTCTTCATTCTGTCCAATAGAGGGTGTACTCCCGATCGCTCGTGCCAGCATCTCGCGAGCATAGTCTGACTGGCTATTGATAGAACTCTCGCCCTCGAATGGCGCGGGTGTGGGTGCTTCGACGAGGACACTTCCAGGACTCCTTGAAGGGCCAACTCGGCTCGACCGCGATTGGCTGCTGGATTCCTGCGAGTCTTTCTGGAGATCCAGACTGCCGAGTTTCGTTGCGAGACTGGCAAGAACATTCTCAATACCAGCTAAGCGGTCTTCAATTCTATCAATCTTCTTCTCGCTAAATGGAGTCAGCTCGAACAAGATTACTCAACGCCAGATCAGCACAATTCGATTGTTTGGCCGCGGGGCAAAGAACGGTCGACGGGTAAGGCTGACGCCACAAGCAGCGAGGTCCACTTTGGAAGCGGGTTAGACGTACTATTCTTCAGATATGTGAACCCTTTGTCGCTGCGCTTTCTGTTGAGGGGGAGCTGTTTTGCAAGCTGCACGAATCAGCGGTAACTTCAAGTTCAGGCCCAGCAGATCATACTCAATTTGCTTGCCTTGCAGTTGGAACATGGCACGCCTCTGTCGCAACGTATCTTGCGTGTCCGGCAGGCATCGCACTAGATGTGGGTCGTCAATCTGGGCGCTGATCTGGGTGGCTGGCTCATGCGACTTACCGCACGCTTGGACATGGGTCCATCAAGCGACGCATCCATATCGTCGTCTTCCATTTTGTCGGCTACGCAATCCGAGCCGCGGTATTCTACGCGTGGTGTGCAAGAGTGGCGGATATTGTGGACTTTATCGGAGCGCGGGCTTCTCGGAACCCGGGGCTGTGGGAACTATCAACGATGTCATCACTAATAGCAGAAATCTCGCACCGACAGGCAGCAGTCCAATATCTCGCCAACTAAACCTTCCAGAGTGTCGAAGATACAGGGTTTTGAAGTCTAGATGCAGCATTCGGCCTCACCAGGCATCACTACGAAGAACGCGCGATCTCGTGACTGTGCCAAGGCCCGGGACTTGCCGATTGGCTCGCATTGCTCGTATCCCGCGCCATTTGGGAAATCTTCAGCCGCTTGCGACGCGCCCTCTGGGCGCCCTTTTCACCGCGGATCCGGACTTTGCAAAGTCCGGCAAACATGAGCTATGTGCGCAACTTCAACGAGATGGCTTCAGATATCAATGTGGTGCACTGCAGTCCAATCGTCCACGGACTGCAATACTCACCTCAGACATGTCGACGAGTAAAGAAATGGTCGACACGCCCGAGCAGCGCGCCAGCGATGACGTCAAGACAAGCAAGGCGCCGACAGTCAAAAGCGATGTCACGTCTGAAGAGCCAAAGGGTGGCATGGGTGGCTATGTCGTAAGTGTATTGAACAAATTAGAAGGAACACGATGCTCACGACATACCAGCGCATCTTCAAGTATGCAGATCGTACAAGCTGGATCCTCAACACCATCGCATTTGTTGCAGCCATCGCCGCTGGAACACTACTTCCGTTAATGTAAGAGACATGCACACAGCACGATCTTTTGCCCCCTTCATCAATGATCGCAAAGTGGTAGCCTGGATAATTGCGCATTGCTATTGTTTCGTTCATGTGACATGATGAACATCAATGGAAAGTTATCCGGGCCTCGCACTACGTGTCAAGGACGAACAAAGACTCTCGCAAGACCTATCGTCGATCAATTAATAATCGCACACTAACGGAATCCTCCATCACACAGGGATCTGGTCTTTGGCAAGTTCATCTCGACGTTCACTGGGTTCGCGACTGGCTCGATCACGCCAGCGCAATATCGCGCTGAAGTGAACAAATACACGTTGTACTTCATCTACCTCTTTGTCGCGAAGTTCGGTCTCGTCTACATTCACTCGGTATGTCACTAACAAGCTACATCCCTGAAAGCATGCTCACGTTCGCAGGCATTTGTATCCATCGCAGCCATCCGCACCACCAAGGCCTTACGATTGGACTTCATTAAGAGCATTCTCCGGCAGAACATTGCATACTTCGACTCAGATGAAGCCGCCTCGGTCACGACACAGGCTACGACGAACGGCAACAATGTCAACAACGGTATATCGGAGAAGCTCACGTTGACCGTTCAAGGTGTATCGACCTTCGTCTCAGCATTCATCATCGCCTTCATCGTCCAATGGAAGCTTACCCTGATAACGATCAGCATCGTTCCAACAATCATGATCGTTGTCGGTGTGTCCATCGGCATTGATACCAAGAACGAGAATCAATTGCTACCGATTTACTCCAAAGCCGGACAACTTGCGGAAGAGATTTTCGCGACTGTGCGCACGGTTCACGCGTTCTGGCTTCATCCATTGTTGTCCAGCAAGTATGACAAGCTTCTTGGCGATGCCCAGGAGGTTGGTATGAAGAAGTCCCCGAACTATGCCGTCATGTTCTCAGTCGAGTTCTTCTGCATCTATGCGGGCTATGGTCTGGCCTTCTGGCAAGGCATCCGGATGTGGGCTAGGGGTGAAGTCGAAGAGAGTGGTATGTGAAGCATCGACTTGGATCGGGATAATTCTCTGATCTACCCGATTGATACTATTATGTACTAATCCATTGACAGGCGACGTGTTTACCGTCATCCTCGCTGTCATTGTCGCAGCAACCGCTATGACGACAATAGCACCTCAGATTATCTCTCTGACGAAGGCCTCTTCTTCTGCCGACGAGTTGTTCAAGACGATCGATCGAAAGTCCGAGATTGATCCCTTGAGTGATGATGGCAAGGTGCCCAGCGTCTGCGAAGGTGTTGTCGAGATTCAAGACGTCAGCTTTGCCTATCCCGCTCGGCCCGACATCACAGTCTTGAAGAGCTTGACGCTATCTGCGCCTGCTGGAAAGACCACAGCCCTCGTAGGAGCATCGGGTAGCGGCAAATCGACAATTATCGGCTTGATAGAGCGATGGTATGATCAGGCCAGCGGCGCCATATACCTCGATGGTACAGACATACGAGAGCTCAATCTCACCTGGCTACGTACGAATATCCGATTAGTACAGCAAGAACCAGTGTTGTTCTCCGGCACTGTATACGAAAACGTCGCATTCGGCTTGTTCGGCACCGACAAGGCCAACTTGCCCGAGAGCGAGCAGCGAGCGCTCGTAGAGAAGGCCTGCAAGAACGCTTATGCCGAAGAGTTCATCGAGCGGCTACCAAAGGTGAGCCATGTTGCTCCTCAGATACTCGTCGTATGTATTGCTAACGTTGAATAGGGTTATGACACGCAGTTGGGTGAGCGTGCTATGAACCTCTCGGGCGGTCAGAAGCAACGACTAGCCATCGCGCGCAGTATCGTCTCGGAGCCGACTGTTCTTCTCTTGGATGAAGCCACCAGCGCTTTGGACCCAAAGGCAGAGAAGATCGTACAGCAAGCACTTGAGCGTGTCTCTCAAGGTCGCACAACCATCGTCATCGCTCATAAGCTTTCCACTATTCGCAATGCCGACAACATCGCAGTCATGGCTGCTGGAATTGTCGTCGAACAAGGCTCACACGACGAGCTTCTCGCTGCTGGCGGTGCCTACGCTCGTCTCGTCAGAGCCCAGGACCTCGGCCAAGCAGAGGGTGAAGAGCAGGAAGAGCAGGATTTTGCCGCAGAGAAGATTGATCTGGTACGGACACAGACTCAAGCATCCGCTATCGGCCAAGAAGCGAAAGTTTCCGACAAAGACGGCATCAATTACAACCTGGTGAAGTGTGCGTGGATAGTTCTCAGGGAACAGGGCTCTCTTTGGAAGTGTTTTCTCATCCTGGGAGTTGCAACACTAGCTGGAGGCAAGTTGCCGACTCGTTTCTTGTTCGACTGTTACTGACCTACTACAGGAGCGACATACCCAGCTCAAGCTATCCTATTCTCTCGCGTCGTCGAAGCCTTTCAACTGTCCTCCAAGAGGGCAGTAGAACAGGGCGACTTTTACTCCTTGATGTTCTTTGTTGTCGCAATCGGCAATCTTGTTGTCTATGGCGCTGTTGGCTGGGCCAGCAACGTTGTTGCACAGGTTGTCGCCAGGGTGTACAGACGCGAGATCTTTGATCTCATCCTCAAGCAAGACATGGCATTCTTCGACGACCAAGACAATGCGAGCGGCGCTCTCGCCTCCAAACTCGGAGCCTACCCTGACGCACTGCGCGATCTTATGGGCTTCAACCTGATGCTCATCTTCATCAACATCGTCAACATCGTTTCTTCCTCGATTCTTGCCATCGTGGTTGGCTGGAAGCTCGGTCTTGTAGTTGTCTTTGGAGGTCAGTATCAGTTCTCAGTTCTTTCCAGTAATCGACACTGACTTGGCGCAGCTATGCCTCCAATCGTGTTTTCTGGGTACCTCAGGATTCGACTTGAATTCAAGCTAGAGGATCTCACGGGCAAACGTTTCGCCAGCAGCGCTGCTCTCGCATCAGAAGCAGTCTCCGCCATTCGCACGGTCTCCAGTCTAGCGCTCGAAAGACACATCCTCGCCCGGTACGAAGATCGACTACGAGGTGTCGCAAGAGACGGTATCAAAGCTTTGGTGTGGACCATGTTCTGGTACGCACTGACGCAGTCCATTTCATTCTTGGCAATGGCCCTGGGCTTTTGGTACGGCGGCCGACTGATCAGCACGGGAGAATACACGACAACCCAATTCTTCACGGTCTTCATCGGTGTTATTTTCTCTGGAGAAGCAGCTGCAGCCTTCTTCTCTTACACTACGAGTCTCACAAAGTCGGCCACTGCGGCCAACTACGTCTTTCGGTTGCGGGCGTTGAAGCCTGCAGTGCAGGAAGACGCATCAAAACCGCCGTTTGACGACGAGAAGGACAAAGGCCCAGCACAAATTGAGGTGCAAGACCTTGCTTTCGCGTACAAGTCTCGGCCTCACGCCAAGGTCCTGGAAGGCATCGATATCAATGTGCGGCCCGGTCAATTCATTGCTCTCGTCGGCGCTTCAGGCTGCGGGAAGTCAACAATGGTTTCGCTTTTGGAGAGGTTCTATGATCCCGTTGCGGGGCGTATCACCTGTGATGGCACTCCGTTGATGGACCTCTGTCCACGCAAGTACCGGCGAGGTGTGTCTTTGGTCCAGCAAGAGCCAGTCCTATATCAAGGCTCGGTCCGGGACAACATCGCCATGGGTGTTGAAGTCGACGTGACTGACGCTCAGGTCAAAGCCGCAGCCAAGCAGTCGAACATATCCGACTTCGTTGCATCTCTGCCAAACGGCTTTGCGACGATGTGCGGTAGCAGAGGCACGCAACTATCGGGTGGGCAGCGCCAGCGTATCGCCATAGCCAGGGCACTCATCCGCGAGCCACGCCTACTTCTTCTTGACGAAGCTACTTCCGCACTGGATACTGAATCCGAGAGGGTAGTTCAAGCGGCGCTCGAGGAAGCGCAGAGTGGACGTACAACTGTCGCTGTGGCGCATCGTCTCAGTACTATCAAGGACGCGGACATGATCATGGTGTTCGCGAGGGGAAAGATTGTGGAAAGTGGTACACATCAAGAACTGCTTGACAAGAAAGGTGTGTACTATGAGATGTGCTTGGGCCAAAGCATGGATCGGGCGGTCCCGACATGACCCTCGACGCACGGCTCATTATCTTCCCTTCGTCTGTACTACAATCGTAAATAGAACCTTTGATAGACTGTGCGATATGTAATATACCTATCCTCAATTCTCGAATTGATGGCTGCTCGCGTCCA